GTCCTGAATGCCTCCGGGAGGGACCCCCTCTGTCGAGGAGCACGGCCACGGGGGCCCTGCCTTGGCTGTTCCACAGGAACGAAATTAAGGGCAGAAACCAATTAACGGAAGGAAGTGCCTAACGGGGCTGGCGGCCCTACCTGTCCTTCATTCCTCTAATCTCCTTCGCATGCGGTGCGCGTTGGTGGTTCCCCCTCATGGCTACATCTTTCAGCAGTGAATTCTGAAGAGCGTGAGGGGGCATTTCTTTTGAATTGTCCCAAGCCTTGCATGTCCGCATCATCTTCCAGGGATGACCCCAGTGGGGGCCGAAAGAGACGCAACGTATCTGCTTCTGGCTCCCATTGCGCATCCCAAGCGTGATCGCATCTTCCCCCCCCCCTTGAGTCACTTTTTCCTAACGCTTCGCAGCCCCCAAAGGCGCAACCTTCTCCTTGCGGGAGAGAATGGCTCCAGAGACCCTTTGCAATTAATTCCTGGGCTCTTTCCTGCACTCTGGCCTGGGTGCAAAACCCGGTTGCCTCCAAGTAAACGGGACCCCATTCCAAGGGACGGGGCGGGGGGGGGGGTGGGGAAAAGAACTGACCCCTCCCCCCCTCTGCTGGGGACCCACGGCCCTCCCCAGCTCAATGTGCAACTGGAATTACAGCAAAAATAACGGGTCTGCAGCCGCTTGGAGTGCAGCCCCGGCCATCTCCGTCGTTGCACTCGGAGAGCGGAGCGTACGTCTGACCCTCTTCCTTCGGAAGTCCAGCAAAGGTTCACCAAGAGGGGGAAAACTCTTATCTTGCTTCCCAGATAGATTTTTCAACACCCGTGTGGTTTTTACTACTTGGGATGGGGTGTTCCTTCCAGCATCAGTGGTGGTGCAATTTGGAAGAAATCTTTATTGTGTAGACATTCATCATTAATCCGTACACATTCTCTAGAAGACTCTGAATGCCAGTAAAGAAGTTTTGATAGTCAGTCATGTAATGATCACATCGATCAAACTCTTTGACAGGAGAGCTGTCTAGCTGTGTGGGCTTACATAGGCTTTCTTGGAATATCATTGATTGATTGATTGATTGATTGATTGATTGATTGATTGATTGATTGATTGATTGATTGATTGATTGATTGATTGATGATAAATCAGTTCAAACAATTGAAGAATGCGTTCATGGTAAGGTTATATTTGCCATGCTTCCAGAATGTTAATTTTTAATCTACATTTGATTTCCTTTCTTCCGAAAGGCCAGTTCTACTCAGTTCAATTTTTTAAAAAACAGTTATTTTGGCTGGGAATATTTGGGAGCTGCACAAATGGGTGAAAGCCACATACTGAGTGGGGGGAATGAAATCATCTGACCCCTATTTTCAGCTGCCCTTCCACCTCTGCTCATGCCTCATGTGAGTACATAAATTCCAAGGTTACCAAATGTCATACAGGAGATCCTAAAGGAATCAGAGTCAAGGTTACGGCCATGCCCCTGAATTTTTCACCTTTTCCAGCAGTGGCACCTGAAAAGGTATGTTCTATGTTTTATCATTTGTCTCCTACCGTGTTTCCCTGAAAATAAGACAGGGTCTTATATTCATTTTTGCTCCAAAAAATGCAGTAGGGCTAATTTTCAGGGGAGGTTTTAATGTTTTCATGTACAACCATCTACATTGATTCAAATACAGTCATGTCATCATCTTCTGGTTGCTGCACAAGGGTAGAGGGTTTCACTTCACTGGGGCTTATTTTAGCGGGGTACGGCTTCTATGACAAGCATCCTGAAAAATCCTACTAGGGCTTATTTTCAGGTTAGGTCTTATTTTCGGGGAAACAGGGTAGTAACTCCAGGAGACAAGGAAACCAGAATTATTCTTTCTCCAGCCCAGTACTTTTGGAATTAAAAATGAAGATTAAGAACGGAGGATGAGGGATGCGTTCAAAGAGTGCAGCGGACGCCACAAGAGGTGAGGTGAGGCGCGTCACGATTTAGCGTGGAGAGAAGCAGAAGTCAACTTGGTGTGGGATGTTCCCAAACCCGCTGACCTCTGGAGTAAGGTTGATTTTGGTGACCCCGGGAGGATGTTTAAGATGGAAACTCTGCAGGATGGTGGTGATGTAGAGGAAGAGTTGCATCCGGGCCAGTCCTTCACCTAGGCAGTTCCTTTTTCCTAGAGGACAAAGAAAATGGAAAAAGCTGTTAAGGAACTTTACGAGGGTATGTTTACACACATTGATTTCCCAAAAACATCAGGAATGCAAGAACTGGCTTGATCCCTTCTGCTTTAGGGTGACAGTTGTTACATACCATCCAGTCAGCGCCGACTCATGGCAACCCTATGAATGAGCCACCTCCAGAAGACCCTGTCCTCAACAGCCCTGCTCAGCTGTTGTAGAATCAAGCCCATGGCTTCCTTCAGGGAGTCGGTTCACCTCACACGTGCTCTTCCTCTTTTCCTGCTGCCCTTCCACCTTTCCCAGCACAATCGCTTTCGAGGATTTCCATCAAAAGCAACAGATCTCAGATTCCAAACCAAACCCTCTGTCTTTCAGGATTGCTGGAGGTGTCTCAGGCCAGTTGCTCAAACTTTTAGTTCGTTCAACACATCCAAGGGCACACATAATTCGCATTTGTAATATTTTCAGTCATGTCATCTTCTGGTTGCTGCACAAGGGTGGAGGGTGGGGTTTCACTTAAGTAGGGCTTATTTTTGGGGTAGGGCTTATATCATGAGCATCATGAAAAAACATGTTGTTGTTGAGTCATTTAGTCGTGTCCGACTCCTCGTGACCCCATGGACCAGAGCACGCCAGGCCCTCCTGTCTTCCACGGCCTCCCAGAATTGGGTCCAAATTCATGTTGATGGCTTCAGTGACCCTGTCCGACCATCTCGGCCCCTGTCGCCCCCTTCTGAAAAACCATACTAGGGCTTATTTTCAGGCTAGGTCTTATTTTCAGGGTAATAATAATAAAATCAAGTGTAAAGCCAAGGATGGATGTTCGGGAGTCGGATTACCTGAATGGAGCTTGCCGACTCCCAGTGGCAGACGGACCAGAGGGAGGACTTCCCCCAAGCAATGGCCACCCAGGGCATCTTACCTGCGGAAAAAGGCATGTCAGCTCCGTTCTTCTTGAAATTCCCCTTTTCATCCAGGAAATGTCCCGGGTCAAACTGGTAAGGATTTTTAAATTGCTTGGGATCACGCAATGCGGAGTTCAAGATGGGGTACAGCGTAGCACCCTGTGGGAAGCAGAAGTGACAGAAGCAAGAGTTAAGCATTTATTTTAAGAAGTTTGTGGGATCTTTAAATCTGACTGAAGCAAGTTAGAATATGTGATAAGACGGGAATCGAGTTTGCCCTGCTGTATTCTGCCATCGGCTCTCCCAGCCCACAGAAAGCCATTATGCTAGGTGGTTGAGCCAGGTGAAAATGAGAGTAAGGTAAAGGTAAAGGTCCCCCTTGACAATTTTGTCCAGTTGTGTCCAACTCTAGGGTGTGGTGCTCATCCCTGTTTCCAAGCCATAGAGCCAGCATTTGTCCACAGACAATCTTCCGTGGTCATGTGGCCAGTGCAACTAGACACGGAACGCTGTGACCTTCCCACCGAGGTGGTCCCTATTTATTGACTCGCATTTTTACATGCTTTAGAACTGCTAGGTTGGCAGGAGCTGGGATAAGTGATGGGCGCTCACTCCGTCACGTGGATTCAATCTTACGACTGCTGGTCTTGGCCAGCTAGAATAGTGCCTTAAATCTGTGATGACTGAGAACAACAAGCTGGTTCTTCACAGAGCTCAGAAAAACCATGTTTGGTCTACAGAATCTCTTAAGAAGCCAGGGTTCTGGTGTCTGCAGATTCAAAGAAAAATGTCTATGGCCTCTGGCCATCCTTTTAGTTCCCACGACTTCTTACAGCCTTAGGATAAAACAGGCAACCTGTTTCTCCAACATACCTTTGGAATAGTGAAGCCATTGAGTTCCATGTCCTTTTTCACCACCCGGGTGAAACCAAGGGGGATGAGAGCAAGAAATCTTTGGGCTTCATGAAGGATTGCTTCTGTATAAGGCATTTTCAGGCGGTCTGTCATGGAGGGTGGCCTTTCCTGCCCTATCACTCGGTCTATTTCTTCATGGACCTTTGCTGGAAAGACATGCGCGTAAATGTTCTAATGAACTAAGGTGAATTTATAAGATAAGGCAGATGTAGGATCGTAAACCAGTTCCGGTGTTGTTTACACAAGCCAGGAATCAAAAGAGGCTAGCTTAGGGTGTGACTACACAGTGAGAGAAATATGAATTTACTCATTGTGATGTTGCACCAAATAATTCTAGTTTCCTTGCATCTGTTAGAATCAACTGGCCACACAGGAAAAGGAGGAAATTGATTAAACAGCCTTGTTTGCTGCTTGTTAAAATCGCTCTTCTATAGCCCTGCAGGAGGCGCAGCTATAGAAGGAAAACTCAATAAGCTGTAAACAAGGACAGAGTGATGATTTCCTTCCTTCCTTCCTTCCTTCCTTGCTTCCTTCCTTCCTTCCTTCCTTCCTTGCTTCCTTCCTTCCTTCCTTCCTTCCTTGCTTCCTTCCTTCCTTCCTTCCTTCCTTGCTTCCTTCCTTCCTTCCTTCCTTCCTTGCTTCCTTCCTTCCTTCCTTCCTTCCTTGCTTCCTTCCTTCCTTCCTTCCTTCCTTGCTTCCTTCCTTCCTTCCTTCCTTCCTTGCTTCCTTCCTTCCTTCCTTCCTTCCTTGCTTCCTTCCTTCCTTCCTTCCTTCCTTGCTTCCTTCCTTCCTTCCTTCCTTCCTTGCTTCCTTCCTTCCTTCCTTCCTTCCTTGCTATCTATCTATCTATCTATCTATCTAGTGTCCTAGTAAAAAAAGATCAGGCACCAAGCAGTTTGAAAAAAGGAAAAAACAAACCACAGAAATGACTTATTCTGCCCAGAGGGGAACAATGGAGAGCAAAAAAAGATCAGGCACCAAGCTGTTTGAAAAAAAGGAAAAAACAAAACAAAACACAGAAATAACTTATTCTGCCCAGAGGGGAACAGTGGAGAGGAAAAGATCATACTTTTTTTCTTGGTTCAAATGATCAGACAGTCTGAACCAATGCAAATAAATCTGATGGTAAAAAAAATGCAGAAGCCCCATGCTGAATGAGAAAAAACTACAGATCTGGGGGGGAAAACTCTCAGCTGGTTTGCATTTCCTTTTATGTGCTCAACAATAACAAAAGAAGTGGATCAGACTGTCCCAGTTCCATAGCATTCCCTGCTTTTTTTTTAACCAAAGTGGTTGTAACTTTTATAAGTGATAGGAAGACGTTCAGCCAGAAGTATAGAGCAGCCAGTGGCAAAACATGACTTTTCCATTAAAGCATCCATAAAAAGATGGAAGTGAAGATTCAGACACCACTAGTTGATATCAGAGGCAGCTGGTCATTAGACCCATAGAAGGCAACCCCGCACTGTTTCTCCCCCATTTCTAGTTTTCTTCCCCAAGGTGGACATTTCTATACCTTGCATCTCTGGGTGTTCAAGCAGGATCATGAGGGTGTATCTCAGGCTGGTGCTGGTGGTTTCTGTCCCAGCAAAGAAAATGTCGTAAACGGTCATCATCAGATTGTCTGTCGTAAATTCCGTCTTGGGATTATTCTTCTCCTGGGAATGGAGAGGAAAAACCAGTGAAAACCCCTGAGGGCTGCCTGGAACGAGGCTTTCTCGACAACCCCAAGGTTAGACTTTTGGAAAGTTACTCTTTCCAAAGATCCAGAGGAACCTCAACACCACCGGCGATGGCTTAGGATCCTTTGGTTGCGTTTCTTTCCACCGAGCGTCACCTGCTCCATCTTGAGAAGGAAGGCATCGACAAAGTCTCTCGGGCCAGCGCTGGGATCCAAGGTTTTCTCGTGCTCTTTGATCTTCCGCCCTACGAAGGCCTGGACATCAGACAGGTTGCTGAAGAACGTTTGGTGCGGGCCAGGCAGATAGTCCATGATCCTTGGGAAGATGTTGTAAAGCTGCCGAAGACAGGGAGAGACTGAGAGAGAAAGAGGGAGAAACGGGGAAGAGAGGCCCGGACAAGGAGATTCCCTGGCGGGTCTGAATTTTGCCGCCAACTTCAATCCAGCTGCGTTGTCAGAAACTAGCATCACGACAGATTACCAGTTTATGCCAACTTCCATTGCTTGGCTTCACCAGTTCAGTGACCTAGTTTTTTAAAAAAATATTTCATGCTGCTTTACAGGTTTCCTTTGGAGACACAGATTAAGGAACTCAGGAATCTCCTTTCACAAGACCCTCTTGCACAGACTGTAATTGAGTGAGCAGGTGTATCGGCGGCCTGAATGATCAGCAGGGTAGCAGGGGTTTATTTTTTTTGCCTCAGGCAGCAAAATGTCCTGGGTCAGCTTTGTGTGTGTGGTTTCTTTGCCCTTACTCACCAGGAAAGAGATTCGGTTTTCCGAATTGCCCACGGCGAGAAATTCATGGAGCCCGCTCACAGCCTCCCTCTCTGCACGGAACCACGCTACCTGTTCTTCCATCACCTGCGCCCCCAGGTTGTACTCCTCACCTGTCCTGCGACGGAGCTCTCCAGCCTCAGGCTCTCAATCAGCAAGCGGACAATCCGGCGGTACTCCTCGTCCTGGTAGTCGAATCGTTCCCCGAGGAGGATGTGGCCGACCACGTTGGCGGTCGCACAGCTGAGCACCATGGCTGGATTGTAAGGCTGGCCTGGCAAGAGAAGAGCCGTTGGCAGAGGTGGGTCAATCTGGGGGGCGGGCTCAGCCTCGGTTCTAAGGCAGCCTTTCTTAATCTGCCACTCTCCACACCTGCTGGGCATCAAATCAGTGGGGGCAGCTGATTATGATTTTGCAGGGAATGGAAGCAGTGAGTCTGCTCCGTGTTTTAGTTTGAACATTCCTGGAGCTCTCCCGGGTTCTGAATCCTTTCTCCACCCTAGATGTGTCCCACTTGGAGAGTGCCTGTAAAGTTCAGAATAAGAGCAACAACAAATGCACACTCTTTTGTCACAGATTTGTGGTGTTTTGCTTCTGGGGGACTTTTTTTAAATGCCCCAGTCAGTGTCACGTTCTGGAATTCAAAATCTCCCGTGCTGTTTTTCAGCAACTCAAGGTGTGAAACAGCAGGAGGGATTTCCTTCCCTGGTACTCTGGTTGGTCCCACGTTGGGGTGACAGAGAGACACTTGAATTCTCAGTGGGTTCAGGAAATACAACCCCTGCCTTACACCACCTGTTTGCCAACCCTAACTCTAACCAGGGTAGTAAGCTGACCCCTAACATTTAGGAACTCCTGTGCACTCAGAGATATTCCTCAATATAATCAAGGAAAAGTGTGTGTTTTTGCCTGAAGAATGAACATGTCAAATTACATAAAAAATAACAAGTCTTTCCAACTGCAGCGTATCAGACTGTACCCTTGGTGGCTCGGAGGGCCTTCATCAGGTACTCTGCCTCCTCCTGGATGCGTTCCTCGATGCTTTTCTTCCCCATTCCAAAGTTCCTCAAGGTCGTGAGGGAGAAGCGCCGGATCTGGAGCCAGCGTTCCCCGCTGGCCATGAGAATACCTGGAGAGAGGAGTCGGAGGTAAGACATCCTGAGCGGAGAGACCTTTTCTTGTGGGGGAGGAGAGCAGAGTCACTGTGTCTCAAGGCAGCATTTTCTGTTTTTGCGTGTGCCACGGTGTAGGCTCATGGTATCGCACCACGTCATGTAATGCTTAAAGTGCAGCACTGCAGTGAAGAGTTTGCTCACTAAATTCAATCCCAGGTACCTGGCTTGAGGTTCACTCAGCCTTCCATCCTTCCGAGATTGGTTAATTGACAACCCAGCTTTCTCTCTGTGTGTGTGTGTGTGGGGGGCAATGTGTAGCATCCATAATGGAATTGGAAACCACCCAGAGAGTGCTTTAATGGGGAGGAAGATCAGCAGACCCTGACGTTAGGAAAGTGTGAAGGCAAAAGAAGAAGAGGACAGAGGATGAGATGGTTGGGCATCGTCATCAAAGCAACCAACATGAGCCTCGTGGCACAGTGGTTAAACTGCTGTACTGCAACTAAAACTGTGCTCGTGACCCGGGGTTCAATCCCTGGTAGCCGGCTCAAGGTTGACTCAGGCTTCTATCCTTCCGAGGTCGGTAAAATGAGTCACTGGGGGGGGGAGCAATGTGTAGCCTGCATAATTAACATGTAAACCACCCAGAGAGTGCTTGAAGCCCTATGGGGGGCGGTATACAGTATAAGCAGCATGCTTTGCTTTTGCTTTGCTTTGACCCAACTCTGGGGGGCACTGGAAGACAGGAGGGCCTGGCGTGCTCTGGTCCAGGGAGGTCACGAAGAGTCGGACAATGACTAAACAACAACAGATCAGCAGCACACTTTGCTTTCACTGTCACTTTCCAAAGTGGGGGCAGTACCAAGTCCTCTGTTGGTCTTATCTGCCGACGGGAAGCTGCCTCGGTCAAGGAACTCATCTCCGCCGTCCACCAGAATCTTCTTCACCACCTCATAACCGTGGAGAACCACCACCTGGTCCAAGCCGAAGTACACGGTGAAAACGGGCCCGTACTTCTCGCTCATCTGCAAAGATAGAGCAGGGCGCAGGGCGTGGAGAGGTTTCAGGCAAAGGGGAAACAGGAAGCAGGACGGGGCAAATTTCTGGCATGGTGCATGTCTGGCTATTTCTCCTATTGCTGAGACGGTCTGTTCCTATAAGCGAGGCACCCCGAATATCTGGAAAACAAGGAACTGGCCTTCAGTTGGCGGCTGAGGATCCTCCGTGTGAGCCTATGTGATGGCAAATGTGGGGATGAGCCCCCCCACGCCCTGGCCCATTAGCTGGAGAAATGCTAAGGTGGGAGAGGGAGTCACGAGAGTGGAGTAAATCATTACATGTGGTGGACGTTATTTTTGCAAAAAAAAGAGTGTTTGGGTCAAAAATTAAACTGTTTGGGTAAAAAATTTAAAGGGGGTACATTTTATGGTGCATAGCCAGCCTTTCCCCGTCACGCTTCAACATGTCCTTCACTATTGCCTTCGACAGGTCACGACACCCCTCGTTCTCAACTCCGCCACCTGATGTCACCTTTTCTCCTTTTTAATCTTTGCCTGCAACCGTCTGCCATCCTGCTGCTTCTCCCTCCCTGCCTTAAAGGGCTTCCACGTCCTTGCCCAAACCCCCCAACCTTTGTCTCCTGCCTTGGTACGCTGGTGGAACTGTGGCCACATAAACCTCTTCCAGACCCCAAGGGTTCTGCTTTGTGCTCATCATCCTCCGCCTCTTGGCCACCTTCGATAGAGCAAAATCCCCCTCTTTCAACACGTATTTCTATGGGTGTCGGTGTCCTGGCGGCGTCCAGCTCAGGATAAGCAGATTCCAAAGCAGGGCAAGAACGCTTGTGGGCTTGGGCGTGCCCAAAATCTCAAAGGGAATGAGGATCTCAGAAGCAGGATGGCCGAAGCGAGGGGGCCTCTTCTCCTTACCTTCTGCAGGCGTCCGGCAACGTTGCTCGCTCTCAGCTGAAGGAGGTTCCCCACCAGGGGAAGAGGCGTTGGGCCAGGGGGAAGGTTTCTCTTTTTGGCCCCGATGGTCTTCCATGCCACCCAGAGGATCAGGCAGACGGCCAGCAGGCCTGCGGGAGCCCCCAGGAGATCCATCGTGGTGGCACAGCCTCACCTTCCCCCGGGGAAGAAAAACGGGGCTTCACAGAGCTTCTGTGAGCAGTAGGACGAGAGTCAGCCGTAGGGGAGGGACAGCGAAGAGATTATTGTTCAACCACCATCGTCCAGGGATTGCTCTTTAACTCTGGAACAGAGCCCAGGTGTCTGGTTTTCTTTTTGCTTCTTTTTTTTTAGTACCTCCATCCTTCCCAGGTGTCTGGTTTTCTTTTTGCTTCTTTCTTTTTTTAGTATTTATTTATTTACAATATTTTTAGCCGCACCATTGCCAGTGGCTTCTTCTTCCTTGGAGAAGAAACCCAGAAGTCCTGTTTCTTGGGTTTCTGGAGTTGGAAGGGGCTGAAGATAGAGCCCTCTTCTTCACTCCCATCAGCCTTCCGTCTTTCTTCTTGCACAGGGGTTCTCCACCTGGGGTCTCCAGAGGTGAGAGGGGTCTCAACAGTAGCCAGAGGACTGGAAAAGATCAGTCTACATCCCAGTCCTAAAGAAGGGCAGTGCCAAAGAATGCTCCAACTATTGTACAATTGCACTCATTTCACACGCTAGCAAGGTTATGCTCAAAATCCTACAAGGTAGGCTTCAGCAGTATGTGGACCGAGAACTCCCAGAAGTACAAGCTGGATTTCAAAGGGGCAGAGGAACTAGAGACCAAATTGCTAACATGCGCTGGATTATGGAGAAAGCTAGAGAGTTCCAGAAAAACATCTACTTCTGCTTCATTGACTATGCAAAAGCCTTTGACTGTGTGGACCACAGCAAACTATGGCAAGTCCTAAAAGAAATGGGCATGCCTGACCACCTTATCCATCTCCTGAGAAACCTATACATGGGATAGGAAGCAACAGTTAGAACTGGATATGGAACAACG